GGGCGCGACTTGCACTTGATTACCGCCGGTGACTTCCTTCGGATGCCTTCCAATAACATGAAAATTACTTTAATTAAAGCTTGGAAACGTCTTCAGTTCGTACTCGTTGATCTTGCGCAACAGTCAAAGTAGCCATCTTTGTTTATTTGAGACCCATATATCTTTGCACATGTGCAGCGCGACGACTTACCGCGCTTTAATTTAGAACCACGTACTTATTTACACGCTGGTACCTTTTATCACATTACAGAAACATAGCAACTCTATCCATTGTACGAATTTCAGTGATTTATGTCACATGCTTACTATGGTTATATAATCTCATTTATTATTAACGTGTTGAGATATGAGTACGTCACGTGACAGCTTATCGGTAGATGTCATCCACGACTTTCCTGTAGAAAACTCTGTCATATAAATATTGTCATGTTGATTCTCCTTTTCTGCTTTTGGGTTGTGAGAGTACTAATTTGTTAACTGACGACGATAAATGTTTAACACTGTCTTGGTTCTTTTACAAACATGACTTACATGACTTAAATGTGTCTTGATAATATATTTTATTATTTTATTTATATATTTATTTCTGTATAGTTCGGCGAGCTGTAAATTCTTCCTATAATAAAGAGTAATAAAGAAGCAGCAACATAAAGACAATGTTGATAGAGGGAATCGCGGAGTAAATTTTGTGAATAAACAAAATTAATGTACAATTCATAAAAAGAAATATAAAAAGTGTACAATATGACCCTATTTTACTTTGAATGCATTTTCATTTCACTGCCAATTCTCTACAAGCATGAAAGAGGGTATGAATGGGACGAAATTCAAATGTAGTTACCCTTACTTCTCAGGTCGTTATCTCCCGTCAACCATATCCGTACGGAGATTGCGAAACATCGACGAAAGTGACGTCAGACAACAACATATTCACCAATTTCTTTGGAACGGAGTACAGCCAGCAGGTACGTACAGAAAATGTTTTTAAAAAATGTATACTTAGTTTCATCTGTTACAGGGTGCTACAAGATCGAACATTCACTTTCGGTTATATATTACGGGGTGATTTTTCTCCTCAAGGTTCTCCACACGTGTCAGGGGGGAATCTCGCCTGGTCTCTATATATCTCTTCCCCTTGAGGTACGGAATCGGGAAAGTCACTTTAGCTTTACAGTCAAATAAGACACACACAACGAAATACGTTTCAACTCTCGTCTTAGTCGGTCAGTCGAGCACTCTATAAGACACAGCGCCCTGGGGAAAAGTCCCCAAGACTATCGCAAGGCTGACTCTATACTCTCCTAGACTGCGTCAAGACTCGCCCCAAAACTCTCCAGGACCGCGTCTCTCCTGGTGTACTCGCCAAGACCAACTCAAACTCTCTTTATTCATTTTCAAAACTCTAACCAATTACAAAACAGTAAAAAGACTCTAGGGCGTAACCTTCAATCATAAAGCCAATCACACTAAGTACTGAATACGTCATATCTTTTGATTAATCGTTCACTACATTAATAACTGCGAATAACTGTCAGAAATAGTAGTCCGAATAGCGACGGTTATCTCGTAATTAGTTCCAAATCACTGAGCCAATTTTCGTGCAGGACCTCGCATAGGCCTAAACGATGACTGACATAACACAGCCATTCGCTAGTAATCAGCTAATTAAGTCGATTAACAGATACGCAAAAACAAATTCATCATACATATGAACATCCAGATCGGGTTCTATGTGTATTTTTTTCAGTACTATATTTAACAGTTATATATCGCCAAAAACAACATTGCCTATCTATCGTCATAACACAAACACAAAACATCACGACATGCAAAATAAATAGATTTAATGTTTGACATTCATCATCGAACACATTTTTTATGTGTTTTTTTGTTTATAATGAAGATGTCCTTCGACGTTATTAGCCGCAAATAAATACATATAAATATTTGTTGACCAATGTTAATTATTAAACTCCTACTATCTATGAACTGAGGATGAGGATGATATCACGTGACACTGAAAACCACACAAAGGTATAAATATAATATTATGTTTTCAGTCATCGACAAATCACACCGCATTGCGTAGATTAATAATACACATATTCGTAATGTCACATATCATAAAGTAAATGCTTATTTCATTACAGTCATGCGAGAAGAGCTGTTTCTATAGTCACGTTGTTACCGAGTGTGGATGTAGTGACGCAAAGTTCCGATATAACACTACATACTCTCCATGTACGTCTAGTAATGAGACACAGAGTAAGTTATTATTTATATAATTGATGGGAATAATTACAAGGTATATACGGTTTATAGATCACATTCCATGATAGGATGAACAAAGTGGCGGATTTGGCGACATACCCGGAAACAAAAATGACACAACACTGTAAGCTGAAAATGTTCATTTGTAATCAGTAGTAAATGGTTCATTTCTGTTACAAAACGAACAACAAACTCAAGATCTGTATATACATCTCTCTGATGAAAAATCGTTTGCTTATTCTGTCAGAAAATACCTTTAACAGAATAAGTCACCTCTAATCGAGTCTGATTTTTTCGCAGGGGAATGTAAGGAAAGCGTGGAAAACTTGTACCTCGAAGGGAAATTATCCTGTGATTCTGATTGTCCGCAACGATGCGAGTGAGTACACTTTATTTAACACAACATTCACCAGATCCACCACATTACTTCACCGCACAAACACAACATCCACCAGATCCACCACATTACTTCACCGCACAAACACAACATCCACCAGGTCCACCGCATATCTAAAAGAGTCAATTCTAGGTTGAAGTAAGCCTTGAATTTACTACTACGTCTAAGTTAGCCATGGCACTTAATGCTAGGTTAAAGAGAACCAGGTCTTAGTGGAGCACGGAACTCAATCCTAGGTCTAAGTGAGTGATGGAACTCAATCCTAGGTCTAAGTGAGTGATGGAACTCAATCCTAGGTCTAAGTGAGTGATGGAACTCAATCCTAGGTCTAAGTGTGTCATGGAACTCAATTCTGCGTCTAAGTTGGCCATTGAACTCACTCCTAAGTCTAAGTGGGCCATGAAACTCAATCCTAGGTCTAAGTGGGTCATGGAACTAAATTCTGCGTCTAAGTTGGCCATTGAACTCACTCCTAAGTCTAAGTGGGCCATGAAACTCAATCCTAGGTCTAAGTGGGTCATGGAACTAAATTCTGGGTATAAGTTGGCCATGGAACTCAATCATAGGTGTCAGTGGGCCATGGAACTCAATCATAGGTGTAAGTGGGCCATGGAACTCAATCTTAGGTCTAAGTGGACCATGGAACTCAATCTTAGGTGTAAGTGAGCCATGGAACTCAATCATAGGTGTAAGTGGGCCATGGAACTCAATCTTAAGTGTAAGTGGGCCATGGAATTCAATCTTAGGTGTAAGTGGACCATGGAACTCAATCTTAAGTGTAAGTGGGCCATGGAACTCAATCTTAGGTCTAAGTGGACCATGGAACTCAATCTTAGGTGTAAGTGAGCCATGGAACTCAATCATAGGTGTAAGTGGGCCATGGAACTCAATCTTAAGTGTAAGTGGGCCATGGAACTCAATCTTAGGTCTAAGTGGACCATGGAACTCAATCTTAGGTGTAAGTGAGCCATGGAACTCAATCATAGGTGTAAGTGGGCCATGGAACTCAATCTTTAGTGTAAGTGGGCCATGAAATTCAATCTTAGGTGTAAGTGGACCATGGAACTCAATCTTAGGTGTAAGTGAGCCATGGAACTCAATCATAGGTGTAAGTGGGCCATGGAACTCAATCTTAAGTGTAAGTGGGCCATGGAATTCAATCTTAGGTCTAAGTGGACCATGGAACTCAATCTTAGGTGTAAGTGAGCCATGGAACTCAATCTTAGGTGTAAGTGGGCCATGGAATTCAATCTTAAGTGTAAGTGGGCCATGGAATTCAATCTTAGGTGTAAGTGGACCATGGAACTCAATACTAGGTCTGAGTAGGCCATGGAACTCAATACTAGGTCTGAGTGGACCATGGAACACAATACTAGGTCTGAGTGGGCCATGGAACTCAATACTAGGTCTGAGTGGACCATGGAACTCAATACTAGGTCTGAGTGGACCATGGAACTCAATACTAGGTCTGAGTGGGCCATGGAACTCAATACTAGGTCTGAGTGGACCATGGAACTCGCTCCTGGGTCTACGTGAGCCATGGAACACAACCATAGG